GTAGGCTTGAGCGTAGTAGAGACCCACTGTAGAAACGGGTAAGCATCTTATCTGTTATTGCAAAGACATAACATGGGTCATACATATTTCGATTAACCATGCCTGTATGAACAAGACAAGGGTCAAGTACTTCATCAGGGGTGTCCGCTCACAGAAAGCGCTTGAGATATGGTCTAAATGGAGACACTTGTGGTGAAGAACTCGGCTGATTACGTCTCCTGGGTCGCTGAATAGTATTGTAAGGCAGTAAATACCAGACCCAATGCCGAAAACGAGTTGAGCCATTATCATGGAACAGAACATGGCGACCAGAGGGCAAGATCTATACAAAGCCCCGCTTATTCTAAGAAATGCAAGACGTTAGTACTCTGAGGTTGTAATGAGATCGAGCGACGCACCCTAACGTAGTGGAGAGCCCCAGGAAGAAGTAGGAAAAAATGTGTAGATCTAGCGCCACCGCATCGACATCCAAGATTTGTTCACCTGCATCGCCGAATAAAGAGCGTCGTAAGCTTTCACCGCAGGACCAACGAGCTCATATAGTGATAGTCACCCAAGCTAAACAAAAGGAAAATCCCTACAACGAGGAAAACTATGGAGAACAACAATTCCGAAAAAGCAATATACAACACATGGTGTCTCGACGGTGGTGTAGACATCCGCTCTGCGGAACCCGATGTGCTCATGTTGACGACCATTATTCTTGTGCTGGGGGATCAGGCCTGCCTGTCTTGGGCATCAAAATTTCTACCGCTCGTTTATATATCTCTGCACAGCCCCGTCGGACCGCTGCGGATAATATACACCAAGCCCCATCAGATAGATATGTAGATAACTGATCAGAGGAAAGAGGAAAGAGACTCAGACTAGAACCACCATCATCTTGACTTTTAGTCGTGAAATCGTCGAAACAAGCCTCAGTGGGGGTTAGAGTTGCTCAATAGAAAGGTCAACATATCACCAAAGAATTCATAATGTCTCGACAAGGTCTCGACAAGGATAGAAAAAGAGTGCATTAAATCACCTCGATCTGTAGAAAAGGAATTGTTCGATGCGACCTGGTTGCTTGCCCTATTCGAAGGAGTATAGTTGATGATTACCCTGTTTTGGAGGTTGTTTGTTCAACAAAACCACTAGACTCAAAGACCCAGGAGCGAGAGGGAGAGGAATGGAGAAATTCACCATTATCAGAAAGGTCATCCGAAAAGTATTTGTTCAATCCACCATGTTCTGAGTATCTGGTTGCTCTGAAATTTTATCTGTGGTTCAGCATGGCCTTGATGTACCCTATCTGCAAATCTTGTGGCTATTAAATGTATTTGGCACTCTGGAGGTCGAGCTCGATGATGACTAGTCCGACATTGCACTCATTTCCCGGCCCGAAATTTGCCGGCTCCCCGCCGGCGATTGCCCTGGGTAGTATTTCGCTAGTTGCACCTCTGTGGAGGTCAACAAGTTCCATGGAGGTTTTTCTCAAATGTTTTTCCTGGAGGTTTTTAGGCATGTGTCTGCAAGAGACTGAATGCTTTGGTGGTAATACCTAGTTTTGAATCAATCAAATCAAGGGAGAGTTTCATCCAAAAAGTAATCCTGGGACTTCCACAATATGCAAAATTCTATCCAGATGCATGGATGCTATTCGGCACCTTATTGGCTGATACAAGAATCACTGAATTATTTGCAAAGTTGGCATATGATGTTTTACAAGTTGTATATGAGGTTGAAATGTTTGTCCCATCTTGATGCAAAGGTTGCTTGCATGCATTGTCGAGACGGGGAAGACCGTGCACGTCTCACGAGGTTTTTTTCCTGCTTTTTCCTCATCAAGTGTGAGAGTGGCATCATCGCCCCCCCGCATTAGAAATGTGTGTTCCAATACTGTAATCTAGGTAGAGATTGTACAGTATGGTAAACTGGCTGTTCGGGAATCGGACCTCACCAGTATAATTTAACTATCCTATCCTATCCTATCCTATCCAAGGAAAAACACAATCTGTCGAACAATCTTTTATTCAAATGCTCTGATATTGACTATGTATTTCGAGTCCAATCGAGGCGCAAGCCCCAACAAATAGACAGTACAAGAAAAGACAAGAAATCAGACCCAATTCTTGAAGTCTGCATGGCTTCAAAGCGCGGCTTTACCGGCAGTCTTCGAGTGTTCGAATATCAGCAAGTGAAAAGGTTACAATTCAGTCTGACTCACCTCGATGGGAAGCAACATCATCAGAATCGCTGAAACAAGGAACAGCGAGGCAGCGACAAAGATAGGTCTAGGAGGTTCAGATATGGTCAGTACAACATCAAATCCTGACTGGTACTGTTAGTAGTACAACACTCAAACACCTTCTACTTACCCGTTAGCAGTAGTCTGTGAAGCACCACCGGAAACCGGTGTCGTTACGATTTTGATTGCAGGAGCCAATATACCCGTCATCCGGTTAAAAGCAGAGCAAAGAGCATCACCCGTTCCTCGATGGGGGGCGGGGAAGACTTCGGGTGTGTAGGCGTACAGTACACCATACATCTAAATAGAGGTATATATCAGACAGACAAACAACGACACGTACATCTTAGAAGATCATAAGACGTACAGCATTCCTAGGCCACAAGCGATGTTCGATTAATTTTGAGAAGCAATGGATATGAATAGTGGAGGTTCGACGTACTGTGTTAGCGAGGTCACACACGAATACGCTAAAACGTCGGCTTCCTTCGTGCTCGTAGTGAACAAGAACAGGAAAATCCCCGTAAGCGCGGTCGATACCGCCATTGTAAGTTTCCGACCGCCTATCGAGAAGCTCATCCCCGAGCGGTCATCCGTCATCGATTTTTCTGAATGGTCCTTCCGATACCAATCAACTACAAGACAAGCGATAACCGAGCCGGGTATGCCGAGAATTGAGATGATAACATAGTTGCGGTAGGTTGTGGAAACACTCGAGGAGGCATCAGAGATGTGGGTGGTTAGGTACAACGTGATGAATCCGTTGAAGAGAGGGTATGCAAGACCAATGAGTCTGTGCTTGGAAGTAAGTAGGTGATGCATGATATGAAAGGAAATGGTAGGGAAAGGATAGACGCACCCCCAAAGAGCAATAGTAATGGAAGTATTGATAGCCAGTCGACGAGTAGAAAATAAAGGCTTGACATGAGAACTTTACTCATCCGTCAACTTCTTGAAAAGTCTTGGATAGAGGCAAACGTACAGCGTGAAGGAGGAGAAAGACTGCTTGATAATTTGCAAGTTGGACATCGGTACCCCGGCTGCCCTCTTCTCGCCCGACACGGTTTGAAGTTGATCAAGTGTGAGACTGAGTACTTTGCCGTTGACGCGGGCGATATGTTCCAAGACCTATAGAATTTCATTTACATGGGAGGAAAGGATGGAAGGCAGGCCTAGTAGATACCTTCAGTGCATCTTCGTCGCGTCCCTTTGCCAGGAGATATTTGGGAGACTCTTGCAAATTGAAAACGAAGTAGCGCAAGAACCACATCAGGAAAGTGATAGCACCTCTACGACGACAAATTTCAGTGAAATGGAACGACAACGAACGAAAACTATTGCTCACAAGGTGTAGCTGAAGTCGGGAAAATCAGTTTGAATCAATGTTACTGTAATGAGTTGTATATTGGCAGCTCACAAGTTATAACGCCATCCCATATTATCGGCTCTAGTACAATCCGTGGCAGATGGACACGAAAAATTCCCTATCAGCGGCCAGGCGATCAAGGAAGCTAAAAGCTGTCCTAAAGCCCACCAAACCGACAACAGAGTAAGAAGCCACTTTTCATAAGAGAGAATCAGTTCTCTGGAAGGAAAATGAGCAAATATCGCGTACTTGGTGGGATTGAGGTATATTTTCGAGGAAAATGGCACCTAAAAGATTCATGTCAGCAGGTGCACTTTGAAAGAAGCATGCCAACGAGGGTACCATCGACAGGCAAGCTAGAAGTCCCGCATAAATCTCGCATAAGCCAACTGTAAAGAAGGGAATGGAATACAAAAATTTACTTTCCGCCGACTCCAAATCCCAAACAGGCGATTAACGCCGCAAGGGTAGTGAAATTGTTCGCCCCACCTGCAGCGATACCGAATACGCCAGCAATGAATAAAGTGATGTTGAACGAAAGCCTTCGCCCGATCAAGTCTGCCAGCACACCCCAAGTGCTTGCACCTAATATGAGACCTGCATACAGCGCCATTGTTGCATACTCAACGCGAACTGGTCTGAGTTCGTTTTCGATTTGAGGAAGGATAATCGCGACTCCTTGTAGCCAGATATCTGAAGAAAGAGACGGTGGGAAAACTTGCGACTGCTCGAAATTCATCAATACACTGACCATCTGCTGCCCAGCCCAGACCGGTGAGTACGAAAAGTTGCCATTGGTAGCGACCAAAACCGATCCTATGCAAATCAATCGGGCTCAATCCTGTCACTCGGTCAAAAGTTATCACTTGAACTACTTGCTCAGTTTGGAGATATTCATTGACTGCAACGAGATCAAGAGTCAAGTCGAAAAAGAGCGTAGGTAGGACATACTCAGTTGGCTTTTAGCTTCATATACAGCGGAAACACCCTCCTTGGACTCTTGCGTGCCACCAGAGACCGGGTCTACGCGCGACAAAGATTCCTCATTTTTGAACTCACCTGATGATTGGATGCCATCGATATTTTTCACGGAATCGAATGACATGTCGATGGAAGGAATGAGGAACTTGAAAAGAATTTATAGGCAGTACCCATGCTGCAAGAGCCGAACTAGGGTAATAGAACGGGATTTTTGCTGATTTTCGCTGAAGTGACGTCGTTGAAGCGAGAGTTACTTATATTAACTGCAGCTAGTACTGAATCGAGGCAAGATATTGGGCGATTGAGTTGGGAATCCCGGTCCAGCCGGCGACATGCCGCGCCATCTTGCTTTGTGTTTTCCGGAATCCGTTGTCATGGTCTCTCCTGTGGTTCTCAATTGGACCCCTTCACTTTGTGACTACTTATGGGCACTTGGCACAGTTGGTAGCGCGCACGCTTCGCATAAATGAAGGATGATTCAGATTTTTCTGCGTGAGGTCGGGAGTTCGACTCTCCCAGTGTCCATCAATTTTATCAACGCTCCAGCAGTCTTCCACTCTTTTCGAATCTTGTTTTTTAGAACTCTTCATTGACCGCAAGTAAGACTATATATATATCTAGCACTAAGGCGCGGAGAGGTGCGACTCTTTTCGTATCTGAAGATGGCATACTCATCCTTTCTGTCCTAGTCAGTTAGGTGTTGTCGAATTTCTACTTTTTTGTTTTCTCTTTCCAATGTCTGTAAGTTACCAAGCTCACGACCAAGAAAACCCTGGTATCGGCGAAACGGGTCGGCGCTACTTTGTATTCTACCCGTTGATTCCACCTCTTTCGGAAACTAATGTTATCGGGCTCCACTTTACTCCATGGCATTCGAAAATTGATGCATAGCATACAGACCACTCCTGATCAGATTTCAAGCATATGCATACCATGCTGTTAGCTATAAAAACAAACGGTCGTCATAAACCGGGAAGAATTGCTCTTCCTCGCTTTCCTTCTTCTATTCCCCTTTCTATTCCCCTCCACCATGGACCCCGGGAAAGAAAAGTTCAACGATGCCTCAAGCTCACGTTCCGAGATTGGCAACAATGGCAATCATTTTTACGATCCCTCTAAAGAATCAATATGGACACGTCTTGGAGTCAATTTCGAGAGTTTTAAACGAGCACCAGGAGTTACTGGGTATGTGATATACTCTATGTCGGCCTTACTTCATTTTGATCATTGTTCTCAGTGACCGGCTGGTGGCTGGAGATCTCTCAGAGGCAGAAATAGAAAAAATCAAGAGCGAAACTCCAATGCTTCAGGCCAAGATGAAAAAGCGGCATCTCACTATGATCGCCGTCGGTGTGTTATTATCCCTCGATCATCGAAATTTTCTCTCAACGCGTGCTTTTCTCTTCAGGTGGAAGTATCGGAACAGGACTTTTTGTCGGATCCGGTTCCGCATTGAAAATCGGAGGACCAGCTGCAATCTTGATTGGATGGATCATCATGGGTGTTATGTTGGTTAACGTTACGCAGGTAGGTATCGGAACTCACCACCCCCATCTCATCCGTCTTATCCTGAATCTCTTATTCCCTCCTACTCAGGCTATTGGCGAAATGTCCATTCTCTACCCCCTTTCCGGAGGCTTTTACATGCTCGCTAACAGGTTCCTGGACCCCGGTTTCGCTTTTGCTATGGGTTGGAACTATTTCCTGCAATGGGCCGTCGTTTTACCCTTAGAAATCACTGTGGCCGGAACAACTGTTCAGTATTGGACGGAAAAAGTTCCGATAGCTGTGTGGATTACTGTGTTTTGGGTTGTAATCAGTGAGCACAAAGCGCTAGCTTCTCCGGCCCATGCCCGGATTGACCAAATTTTCCACGCAGTGATTCTATGTCTGTTCGGAACACTTGGCTATGCGGAGGAAGAATTTTGGTCATCATGTCTAAAGCTGTTAATTGTGGTCATGTTTGTTTTCATTGGAATGTAAGTCGACTTTTTCTCTGCCATTCTTTTTTTGACAATGTTTTGTCCAGTATTTGGTAGGTCTCAATATCCTGAACGAATCCGGTACAATATGTGACTTTTGCCTTTAGTATTTGTGGAGGTGGACCAACAGGTGGAGAATATGACCATTACATCGGTGGTTCTCTGTGGCAGGATCCTGGCGCTTTTGCCAATGGATTTCAAGGTGTTTGCGCAGTCTTTGTCACTGCTGCTTTCTCCTTCTGTAAGCGACATCTTCATCAGTGAATCTATTTCCCTCAATACCATCCAAATCTCAGCCGGAACGGAACTAGTTGGTCTTGCCGCTAGCGAAACTCCCAATCCTCGTGCAACGATGCCTGGAGCTGTGAAGGGAACTTTCTGGCGTATTGTACGTTCTCGTTGCCGTGCGATTTATAACTCCCATTCTGAAGTATTTGCTAGACTGTGATCTACGTCACATCGCTGACCATCATTGGGTTGCTCATTCCATGGACCGACGAGCGACTGCTTGGTGGAACCTCAGCTGGTGAGCCCCTTCAATTGTGACAAAATCTGAGCTCGTCCTCATGAATCTTATCGTCACTAGCCGCCTCCCCTTTTGTCATTGCCCTCGACAATGCTAAGATTCCTGGACTGAACCGTACGAGCTACGGTCCAACCTTTCTGTCAGCCCCACTGACGGTGTTTTCTTTTCCACACATAGATCTCGTCAATGCCACGATCTGTGTTTCCGTACTTTCAATTGGTCTTTCCTGTGTGTATGCCGGATCCCGAACCCTCACAGCCCTAGCAGAAACCGGATATGCTCCCCGCATTTTCACTTACGTTGACAAGTCTTCCCGGCCTCTGTTCTCCGTTATCGCTGTGCTGCTCTTCGCTCCGATAGGGTATGTAAATGTCGTTGCCGTGGGTGATACCGTCTGTGAGTTGCTCTTCCTGAGTATGTCCTTCACGGTCTCTCTAATTGGTTCGTAATCATGCAGTCCTCTGGTTGCAAGCTATCTCCGGGCTTTCCGTCTTATTCACCTGGGGCGCTATCTGCTTATGCCAGTACGTTTTTCACTATACTCAAAGGATTTTCTTGGCTGACAGCTAACTAGCATCCGTTTCCGTCGTGCTTGGAAAGTCCAAGGTCATTCAACAGAGGAACTTCCTTTCAAGGCCATGGGCGGTGTATGGGGCTCATGGCTCGGAGTTATTCTCGTAGTCATCGTGCTCATTGCCCAATTTTACGTCGTGAGTCCTGATCAAGTCGCTGCGTCTATGATCACGGAAGCCGTGCTAATCTTCTCGTGTAGGCTATCTGGCCCGTCGGAGGAGTATCAAATGGTAATGAACGTGCACAAAGCTTCTTCGAAGCATACCTCGCCGCTCCTATTATCCTTGCCTTCTGGATAGGGGGCTACTTATGGAAACGCACCATGCCATGGCGTGCACATGAGATCGATTTGGACACTGGTAGGAAAAGTTGGCTTACGGTTGAGGAAATGCGCCAATACCGCGCAGATCGAAAGGCTGCTCCCTCATATGTTCGTATATACCGTACCCTATTTACCAACTAAAAATCTCAGAAGTTCGAACACTTCATGTATGTATTATTAGGTTTCTTCATATAGTTAATCAACTATGAACGTAGTACATAGGGCATTAATGTAATTGTCAGAACATGTTTTTGGGTTTAAGGACAGGTTCTTCTTTTGTCTTTAATTATCTTTGCTACTATCGTTCCTGTAATACATACAACTCATTTCCTTTCCCATCCACATATGTGTTTGAAAATGTATGTTCTCTGTTAATTTATGCTCTATAGCAGCACTGCTGAATCAAGCTCGAACAAAGCAATACTCCTGGTCCACTGAACCAATGATGATGATAATGATATAGGCTGAGGAAACTGTTGGATTTTCAAATCCCTTTTCGGCTTGGATTGACTGGAAGCCCAACTGCTAACGCTTCTAGGCGGTGTTTAGACCTTATCCTTATACCTCAATCCTACACCCAATTTACACCTGGATGATGACTTAGGCATGGGAAAAAAGTATTGAATTCCTTTTTGTTCTCTTGAAGAGTCACTATTTACTGTCTACGGTCGAGAACAATAAAGGAACGAGGTCCCAATGTAGAAATTGACAGGTCACAGCTGATCACGGCCTATAACGGTCAACTTCTTTTCTTTTGTTTTCTGGGTATATATGAAGTTCGTTCGCAATGCGGAGGCCCCTACGTTTTGTATCCTTGTACTTGGCGCGCAAGCTAATTCGCTGCATTGCATTGTACTTAACAAACCCCACTCATGGCTGGCATTGCGAAGATTGTCTTCCCATCACCCCCACCTACGACAAACGCGCTCACATCTCAGCAGCGTACACAACTCCTGCGCTCAACCAAAAAGTTGGGACGCGTCCTTGGTATTACACCTCAACTTATTGATATTTATCCATATTATACCCCCGCCGGTAAGCCCTTATCCGAGTTGGGTTCACTGCCATTCACTAAATATCACCTCCAGAATCCGCAGAGTGGTTAGACGACAACGACATCTATCGTCCGAAACGTCGAGGTTCTGTGGACTCCATATCATCCAGCTCGAGCTTGAGCACTCGGTCTAGATGGAGTAGCCGATCCTCATCACGACAGCAGTCTCGAACTTCTTCCCCTGCTTCACGCTCCTTACGATCTTCGTTATCGGATTTCTCGACTTGCACCGAAGATATCTTACTCAACAGCGATGCCAAACCGCTTCTTCGTCTCGCCATGACTTCCCCCTCTTTGGACGCTACAACAGCGGAATATACTGTTTCGCCTACCTCATCCGATGATGGGGTAGATGCCGCAGAAAATCTACGTCACACCATACGACCAACTCGCCCCCACACCAAGCGAGATTCTTCTCTGGCTGTTCCTTCGTTTCACATCCCTTCGAACAATAGCTTACGCCTAGCGAAAATGGACAGAATTCGAAATAAGCTTGGAGAGAATATTCCAATCCACTTGGTATTCCCTAACGAAGGAGAGACAAATGTGATAGAGTCTGATCAACCTTCTGGTCCTACGGTGACAATCCACTGGAGACCTCTCCCACCATTACCCGTTGAGGATGATTCACCTTCTCAGTCCTCGACCACATTTTCTTCCCATACCCGTACTAAATTGTCCAATGCGCGAGATTCCCTCCTTATTCAATCTTCTCGCAGAGCTCACAAAATCAAACGAAAACCCGTTCCAAAACTTGATCTGGTAGATTCAGAACCCACCAGTCTTTTTCTTGATGCGGGAAGCCTGACGCGCCGGGAGAAAGAAAGATTGAGCTTGATTCTTGAGCTGCCTCATGAACATGAGGACGAGCCGTTCATGGCTCTTGATTCTGATAGTCGTAGTCAGAACTCGACGTGGTTCAGTGATGGAGGGGAAGACGACATTTCGTTTCAAAATTGGTACCAGAACTTCTTGAAGTACGACAGTGCAAGTTCCCATTAACGCCTTTATGTATTCTCTTGTCCTTTCAATCTGTAGTTTACATCTCCTTCCAGCATGTGTAGTATA